AGGCATCCAGATTGATCGCAGAAAAGATGGCTCCCTCTTTCTGCATCAAACCAAGTATGTGGAAGATGTCCTGCAACGATTCAGCATGGACTCTTGTGCGCCTGCACCCACGCCAATGGTTGCTGGCTTAAGACTTTCAAAGGATACATCTCCTTCTACAGACTCGGATAGGAGGAAAATGGCGAACGTTCCTTACCGAAGTGCCGTGGGAAGCTTGATGTACCTGGTGGTGTGCACGCGACCAGACATTGCCTTCTCAGTGAGCATGGTAAGCAGGTTTCTCGACAATCCAGGCCCTGCACATTGGCAAGCAGTAAAAAGAATTTTTCGGTACTTACGAGCTACCACTTCTTTTGGCTTACTTTACACGCCAAAAGTCACACGCTTACAGGGCTACTGTGATTCGGACTGGGCTGGCTGCCCAGATTCACGAAGATCACACACAGGCTATTTTTTTAGCTTGCAACAAGCAGCTCTTTCTTGGAGCAGCAAGAAACAGAGTGTTGTGGCCTGCTCTAGCTGCGAAGCTGAGTATATGGCTGCTAGCGCTGCTTGCAAGGAGGCCATCTGGCTTCGTCGTCTTCTAACGGACATGGAACACTCTCTTCCAGGTTCAACAGCGATCTATTGCGACAATCAGGGTTGCATTGCCTTAAGCAAGAATCGCAAGATCAATTCAAGAACAAAGCACATGGACACAGTACACCATTTTCTTCGAGACCAATATGAAGATGGAATCGTCGAGCTTGTGTATTGTTCTACTCAGGACATGCCTGCTGACGTTCTGACCAAGGCACTCTCCCAGCCGAAATTTTCTCAGTTTCGGGCTGCACTTGGCGTCTGCCCGAGTGGGAGTGTTACGGTGGCAAGCCGTACGATGTACGGACCAGTGCCAGCTAGGACGCCAGGAGACGCGTCGTTTTTGGTTGTATATTGACCAAAATCTCATGAATAAAAATTCATTCGATGGTCAAACACAACAGAGACAACTATGTAAAAGGTACTTGTAGTGTGTACGTATGTATGTAGGTAGTGTCGACAGATCCAGGTAGTTAAACTGCGAGAGACCACAAACTTTGGAGAATTTCCCAGAGAGAGCAAAGCAAGATTTCTTACCTGTGGACATCCCGGCTACGTGGGAAGCCATGGAAGAATGCTTTCGAAAGGGGCTGGCCAAGGCAATCGGTGTGAGTAACTTTAGCACGAAAAAGCTGCACGACTTGCTTCAACATGCAAAGATCACTCCTGCAGTGGATCAGGTAACACCATGATCTTCA